CCAGGCGTGGCGGCGCACTTGGTTGCTACTTTAATACTATTTTTTTTTAAAAAAGAAAAACCTACTAAAGCACTTGTCACAGCACAAGGCTAATGCGGAAGGCACTGCTGTTCGCCTTGGCAAAGCCGACCTCAAATGTCTCCCCAAATCACAAACACACAAGTCACTGCACTCCTACCAAGTCATTCAGTCTGGGAAGACCTTGCCTATTAACAGTTACCTGTTTAAATGAGGGAGGGAAAAGAGGGATGGAAATGAACCTGTTCTTGCTTTTAGACACCCTCAATTTCTTTGCAATCCTTCAAAGAGCAGGGGGGTAAGCAAAGTGTATACTTTCAGGTGGGACTGCAAGCCCCATCAGCCCTAGTGGGCAGAGCCAAGGGCGAGGTATGCTGGGAGGTGCAGTCAAACAGCATCTGAGAGAACCTGCTTTGCCCAACCCTGCTGTGTAGATTGCACTACTAGATCCACTTTTAATGGGTTTTATTTTCATTGGTTCAAGAGCTGTCCACGCTCCCTGTTCAATACAGCAGATTAAGGAGAGCTCTTCCAAAAGAAGGCAGGCTGGCTTGCACATAGTGAAATGACACCTTAATGGTAATGGAAAACAGTAGATGGTCAAGATGCTTCCCTAGAACTAACAAAACCAACCAGTCAATCCTCAGCTCATCCTCAATAGATACTCCAATGGATTAGTCTCGTACATGTCCTAATACTGTGTGCCTACAGCTGCTTTGAGGCCCTGCATGAACTTAGAGCTTCAAAGCCAGAAGGAAACAACACAATTTGAGGAACTAACTTGCAAAAAACCACAATTTGTACATACAGTCCGTGGTACCTACACACACTCCTTTTCCCCTGTGCAGTCAAATCAAAAACAAACATTTCAGATGTTCACGCTCTATTTATCACATCCAGCCATTCCACCAGCTGTTTGCTAGTGAGATTTCCAGTACTGGCCAGGCTTCATCGTCGCTGAAAACCAAATAGATAATTCTGCCCCCACCCCAGCCCCCAAATAGCCATGGGTTCTAACAGGTGACCTCCAACAATTTCCTAAGGGTGTGTGTGTGTAGAGAAAGAGACATGCAAACTGTGAAGAGTGGACACACTTGGTGACTCCAAAACTAGTTTTTATGGCCATCCCTCTAGCTACATTCCCTTTTGCACACATACCCCAAAGACCATCCATTTTATTTACACATGTTCCAAGTAACAGAGTGCCCCTTCTACTTCACTGCAAGGCAACTGTGTCACTTTGGAAATAAAATAATAATAAAAATAAAAATGAGTTATTGATTTAGGCTATAACAGTATGCAAAGTAGTACTTTAGAGCTTGCTGTGGTCTACTGGAATCTTGGAGAGAAGAGATGAAGAAATAGTTTTAAAATCAGTGTAATGAGATGTCTTCTTTTTCCTCCTTCCTCTCTCTCTCTCTCTATTCCACCACCCTCCCCAAAGTCCCATTTCTGTTAAGTCCAGGTAGGCAGGTGATCATCAACAAGGGCCATCAGCGTCAAGTCAAATGGAGCCATATGACAGACACAAGCTTTGGAGATGAGTGACACAATGGAGCTGGGCTTTCGTCGCCGGTTTTTCAAGCATCACCTGAAGAATATTCAAGATTGTTTGTGGGAGCTGTTCAGGTTCTATGATCAAAGAGAGACAGAAAGGAAAAAAAAGTTTTGAACACATGGTTTTAAAATCTGAACTTTTTAAAAAAAAAATGCAACAGCAAGAGAGGTAGCAAGACGTCGTTGGTTGCATGCAGATGGTTTTCAAAAGACAACAAAAATCCATCACAGAGATCACTGCAGAAACATCATCCAGGGAGGTAATAGCTACAGGGGAAAATGTCCTCATTGAAGAAACAGCAGAGTCCCAAGAAAAGCAGGCCAGAGTCTCATTCATCACTCTCCTTCACCTCCTCTGTATCCTCGGACCGAATTTTGGGGGGAAAAAATAATCATCTCATAAGCATGGGTCACTGAACCAGTGAAATGAAAGCTGGTCGTTTCTGCTTGCCTAGCCTTGAATTTCATAGAATCATAGAGTTGGAAGAGACCACAAGGGCCATC